GGGGGGGAAGAAAAAGAAAAAAGAAAAAGATCATGCAGGAGGAATGTATTCTCAGTCTCTGCAGAGAGCAAAGCAAATTTCTTAGGAGGTTTTTTCCACTTGTGCTGAGGAAGCTCGCAGCCTACTCAGGATTGCCACAAGTTGTGTTTGGTTGGGGTTTTTTTAACAGAACCTCATCAAAATTAGGCAAAAAGTCCTAACATGGTAATTTTAAACCATAAAGCTGTTTTTAGTTCACCAAAGGCAAAACAAATCTTGCAGAAATCCTAGTCTCTCTAAGCTCAACTATCATTTTGCTGGTCAGTGCTTTTCGGTCAAATACTTAAAATGTCACAGCAGGTTTTTCAATTTTGTTCGCTTTAACATTTTGGCAGTCATTAGTTTATTTGGTTTATCAGGTAGGAATCCTGAAGTTTCACTCCTTCACTTTTGCACCATCCCTTGGCAAGTACAATTATTCGGGGAAAAGAAGGGGGGCTTTTATCTTTCTTTTCAGAAAAAAAAAAGGGGGAAAAACACCCAAAAAACCAAGACAGTGCTCACTCTTGTACTAATATTCAATCACAAATGTTTGTGGGGATTTCCTCATCACATGCACCTACATCTCCAAGAAGATTAATGATTGCTGTGCTGAACAGCTCGGATTTTTTTTCCTGAGCAGGGAAAAATCCTGAGCATGATTACATTCTAATCTGGAAAAATAGATACACCAGCATATCTATTTGGCTTGTAACTGTCTGAGTAGCTTCTGGGATTCGTTGTATAATATTTGTTAAATGGCTTAGCGGAAAAAAGAGCACAAAAGATGCTCTAAAAATTATTATGAGAAACTTTGTGATAACAAGGAATATTTCCTCAAATGGATTGGAAAAGAGGAGACAACCAATATAGCACATCAGTCATTTTCCAGACGGAAAGGAGCTCCTGTCTTTGTGGTGACAAGAGAGATTTTTTTTTTTAATTCAATCTTTTTTAAAAACAAACCTCTGACATTAGCCCTGTAATGGGAGGTTTTTCAGAGGACAAAGGAGGGTGGAAATAAGAGGGAAAAAGAAATATATCCTTAGTCTTATTAGCATGTTTTACCACTGTCGTTGAATAAGGGCCAGATGCTGTTTATTTCAAAAACAAGACAAAAGACAAAGAGAAGAGCAGCTGTGCAGAGACAGCGAGCGCTGCAGCCCCGGGTACAGGCACCATCCTTCGGCTATTACTCAGCACTCCAAATTAACCTTGCTATTCCAGCAACGTCCCCGCTGAGATAATTATGTGTTTTTACGTGACTGTGTTTATGGCATGTGAGTCCAAAGAGCAGCTAAGGGGCTTGCCAGGAATAGCATCCAATGTACATCAAAACCAACTTGTTGCCACTGCACTGCCAGGCCACGCAGAGCGCGTTATTGTTTTCTGCAGCCCGGCAGGACGGAGACAGCCCTACAGACCTGGGCTGTGTCCATTAGGATTTCTGTGCCTGAAAGGATCCAATTTCACGATCCTATTAGTATCAGATGATTAAGATGAAATGAACTTAAAACCTGCATTTAAGTCTTATCCCCCCTTGCCTGCTATGCGAGTCTGTATCATAGCCTGGGTGGCTGCACAACATCTGTCAGTAGAAGAGAGTAATCGTCCCGGGCTGGCAGGGCAGGACGAAAGCTCTCTGGGTCTTGGCACAGACTGTATTACCCCAGGCAGCAGGCTCCAGCCCAAATTTGTTTCCCATGGCCAGATCCCTACCCCTACCTGACATAACTGCTCTCCTCCTTTCCACATCCCCGGGGAGGCAGAGGGTCCCGTCCCCACCGTTTCCCAGAGAGGTGGACGTGCCTCGCCCTGGGCGCACAGCCAAAGGGTGGCTGCAGCATGTGCCCGCAGCAGGAAAGAAGATGTGCTTGATGTGGGAGTCCACGCCTGGTGGATCCCTTCTCCACCCTTTTTGCAACAGAAGTGTATTTTAACAGAGGCAAGTCAGTGACTTACCTCCTTATTCTTCTTCGGAAAACCAGTCCTGGCTGCTGAGGGCGTGCAGTGGGGTCTGTAACCCCCAGTAGTCTGGGGTGTGCCCTCCCGCAGCACAGGTCTGGGCACCTCTGGGCAGATACAGCCTCAAAACCTGACCCTTTCCTGCCCCGAGCACTTGGCACCGTACTAGACTGGCCCCATTGGAGGGGAGTGAATCTCCCTATGAGCATGTTTTCACTTAAATTACGACTAGCATTACGGTAATGTTGAAAGAAAGAAGACTGGAGACTTCCCCTGAGCCACAGATAATATAAATGCTTAGGTTTACAAAATGCAGTATTTCACCTAACATCATCACTCGTGTATTTTGCATTTTAGGTGGTGACTCTGTCTTTGCTGATGTACCCGGTGCTGAGGAGTCTCGCTCTTCAGCTGCACTCTGCCATCACCGGCAGCTACGTCGCTGGCACCCACTCCATTGCCTTCATCAACTGTCTCAACGAGCAGATTGCCAAGGATATTGCAAGGTACAGAGACGCTTCCCCTGCTTGTCTGCTTGAATTGTTTGAAAGCAGCCTCCTGTGGAAGAAAGCCTTTCCTTGTCCCTCGAGAGGAGCTGTACTTCTCTGTACTTTGCACTTCTATCCAAACGGTGCTTCTTTTCTCTTACATTCTCTCTCTTTCTCTCTCTCTCTGTATCGCATATCCACTTACCAAGAGCTGTGCTTTCTAAAAGAAAGCTGACAATTGCCTCTGAAGTCAATGCCATGGTAACATCAAGCCAATTCTCAATTTATTCCACTGCCTTTTGTTTTCAAGACCCATTTTAAAGCCACGGCCCTAAATCTCTGGGTCCTCAGATGGATTAAGCCCCAGCCCCATGTTTTCTGATATGCCACAGTCCTTCTTCTCTGGAACAACACAGATAAATGCCAGGAGAAGCATTTATGGAGAGGGACAAAGCACAGTACACTGACATGAAAATAAATAAAAGACGAAAGTGGTCCACAGCAAACATAGAACAGGCACTTGTGAGGGCTTTACCTTGATTTTTTTTTGCTTTTTTAATGTATGAGATACTTTGCATGATATTTTGCATGCAGCTTTTTTCACATATCTGTCAGTCCCTGACTCAATAGGTGGTTTGTTCAAAGTACTGAAACCATGTTGACTGGGGAAATGTTTATGATGGACCGTTAAGTTTCCTGCAACACCTCCTGAGCTGTTTTCCCTGCTACCCTGCTGCTTGCCAAAAACTTTCCCCATCCTCTGTAAAGTGTTCCCAAATAGTCGTTCAGGAACTGACAGGGTACTGAAAGGGATTTTGTGTCACCTTAAATACTGCAACTGTATTAAGAAATTCAAATAGAATAATATCTGTACCGCTTGATGTCTTCGGAAGAAAGGAGTAACTGTACATGGCTGGTGAAAAGAGCCTCAGTTCCTGAAAATGCTTCGTCTTAACAGCTTTGCAAATGTTTTCCACTCTTTGTTCCTTATCTTGCAGGGAAGGGAGAGGAAATAAATCATTCCCCATTGCTGAGCTATATGTACTTTGGTTACATTTTTACTGGTGGAGTAATTATTCATTTGTTTTGGAATTTGGATGAATAAGCTGTGGTTGTAGAGGATGACACAGGGCTTCTACACTTATTTTCCCACCCACTGTTTTCCTGGTGCTGTCGTGTTTATTCTTCCTTTACGTTGCTCAGTGGAGCACTGACTTTGATGGGTCAGACTGCAAGCAAATCTTCTGCTGGTTTTAAGAAAGAGGAGGTCAGGGTTTGTGAAAGCAGATTAGCTGCATGTAGAATTCAGCATCTGGCTTGCTCATGGCATCAGTTCTAACCCAGCTTATCCGGATTACTATTAACTTAAAATCCTCAGAAGAAACCCCCAGTCCACACAGGAGATACAGTCTCTCCCCTGTGCCTGCTGTGAGAAGTTGACCCCTTTGAGCCGGATGGTGTGGCCGCTGCACCTCACATAACTTAGCTAACACCCGAGCAGCCTGTCACCCTCTGGTTCTGCCTTAGATTTGTGCATATCATTTTCTTTGCTTTCTGCTTATTAATATTTCATCTGTCTCAATTCAGATCCTATTGTGAGGCAGGGACAAAGAAACACACATTACGTACCCAACCCAAAGATGTCATGTATTATGCAGACGTTTTTCCACAGATCAGCTTCTTATAACGTTTCCCATTCCCATGATGGCTGCTTGTTTCCGCTCAGCTTGCTAGAACAAAGTTCAGGATCTCAGTTAGGACCACAGCTTATAGGGACAGAGCAGAAGCAATTAGAAGGTACTCACCCAAATCAAAAGGTTCCTGTGCTAAAGTGACTTGGAAGTTGCAGGCAACAAAAACAAAATGATTCATGCCATGTGTCTGACATGATGAACACAGCGGGGATATCTCCGCTCGTGCTGCTGCAGTTTGTTGGTCTACAGATTAACTCAAGATGCTTTACGAGCATTAAATGCCTCAAACTGGCTACACACGGTGAGAGCAAACAACCCGGAGCCTCCTCGGATGGCTGTCCTCTCAGGCCATGCTTCCTCTGAGCCATCGGCAGAGAGAAGTCCATCTCCATCGCCTTGCTGTGCTTAAACCTCAAACCCAATCCCACAAGTTAGCTGGGTCCAGGCACTGCTTCTCCAGTGCACTGCTGGAGTGGCAAGACGTCGCAGGATCATTGGGAAGGGCTGCTTTCCTCCCAGCGCCCGGCCTGCTCCCGGTTCCTCCCTGCCCCGCAGCAGAGCCTGTGCAGTCCCACAAGGGCACCTTTGCCTTGTGCTCGTCGTTGCAAGGTATAAAATTCTACCAACAGGGAAAGCAGGGATGATAATAAAGACGTGCAAAGGAGCTTATGCACATTGAAACAAGAGCCCAGGTTTCCTTATAGGTCAGACTGCAATGCACGATGCAGTTGCACGTAAGCACCCTGACCGGGGTGTCTTCAGGTCACTGCCGTGGGGGAGGCACCTCTTGTGCTCCTTCTCCTCGTCTTCGGGGGCACACTGGACAGTTTGTTTTGTAATCGCCTCCAGTCTGTACCGTACCCTGGATGCAAGGACAATAAATCTTTAATTTGCTCTGAGCCAAAAACATTCTGGAGAGCATTTTGGATTGGAGCAGAAGTTAATCGGAATGGTTTTAATTCTTTAGCTCACTAAGGGTTAATTTTTACAGGTTATTGAATCGAGCCTTCCAGTATCCAATAACTCCTGCCTTCTCTGCAGTTTAAGGTCATCTAGAAGTTAAACGGTTGCATTGTCAAAGCACGTGGTACAAAGTAGTGCCTGGCAACGCCAGTGTTAAAGAAAACCAAAGGTGAAGTCCCTGGTGCAGCGCCTTTAACAGAGCTGCCTGCAAGAGGGACGGGGCTGCCATCTCTGTGAGAAGGGCCCAGGCATTGCTGTGGTCAGAAAACACATTTGACCTAGTTCTTCTAAAAATCCACCCTGAGATTGCTTCAGTACTCGTTAATCACTTAAATATCACTTCTGCTGGTAGACCCAAGCAGCTCTGCAATAACAAATCAGCCCACAACTAAAGGAGGCAGCCAGAGGGAAGGAATTTATTTGGGCTTCAGATTTCTAGGACGTTTTGGGTAGAAAAACCTCGATGTTGTTAATTTAACAAGATCCACATTTAGTCTGCCATGCGAGGAAGAAGCACAGTTTGACAGCATAAATACAGGACTGGGAGACAAACCCTTGGCATCCGTCCCAGCCCCGGTTCTCGCGGCCCCGTGGCTCAGCCCCTGCCCTGCGGTCCCCGCAGCGAGATGGGCACAGGGCTGACGCTGGGCAGGATCCTTGCACCGCATCCGTCCCAGCCCCGGTTCTCGCGGCCCCGTGGCTCAGCCCCTGCCCTGCTGTCCCCGCAGCGAGATGGGCACAGGGCTGCCGCTGGGCAGGGTCCTTGCACCATGTGAGGCACAGGTCCCACGTGCTGCTCTGGGCCAGGAGCAACACCCAACCTTCCTGCTTGGCAGGGGGGGGGGGGCGGCGGGGACAGTCCCAGAGCCGTGCCAGGAGGACCTGAGCTGAAGCAGCTCCAGCTGGAGGTCACCTTTGCCTCTGCTTTCCCAGGGTAATAATTAACCCCAACTCCCCCATCTCCAATGTCAAAGCTGTTGCTGGCGGTCAGGGGCAGCACGAGGGAATGTCCCCGTGACAGGATGCAAGCACTGAGCCGCAGCGAGCTGGGGACAGGCACTAACTCCCCCTCCTGTCTCACCCAGGGCCATCATGGATAAGAAGCTGGCTGCCTGCGTGAACATCCTGCCGAAGAGCTTGGCCTTGTAAGTGGGCTGAATATTCCCCAGCGGAGGAGGCAAACCCGGGCTCCCCAGGGCGGGAAGGAGGAGATGGACACCCCGCGGCCGCGGGGAGAGGAGGCAGTTTCCAGAAGGCTGCTGGGTCTGTTTGTTGTTGCAGATGGTAGAGATGATCCTCACCCGTGCAAAGTGCGCTAAGCTTATTAAGGAGTGCAGATGCTCCGACTGCCAGTGGGGACCATTTATTTATTGGTTACTTAGCTACACGGAGATCTAGCAAAGAGCAAGGTGATTTACGGTCCTGCGGACATAGCGCCAGTTTTTAGAGGATCTAAAAAGAAGCTAAGATAGGGGCCAGAAAAGGCCTTTATAATATTAAGCAGCACTTTCAGGAGGGAAGAACTGTATCTTTGACCTTGAAATATGACCAGCCGTGCTCTGCAGGTATCCTCAGCCATTCACGCAAAGGGATTGCACTTGTTAGAGGGGTTAAAGAATAAAGCCCCAAAACAGCCATTTCCTCACAGGAGCACCCTGGCCTGGCCCCACATCGCAGCCTCCCCACAGGAGGGGCCTCTCCCAGCGCAACCCCCCCCGGCTCGCCCAGAGCCCAGCTGAGGCTGCTGAGATAGGGCAAACCCAGCAACACCCTTCTTCCCCTTACACTTGGTTCCCTACAAGCCACAACGGCCAGAGCCGAGCTGCTCATGCACAGCCCTGCCTGCTCCAGCTGGTTTCTCCTCCGTGCCCTGCTCTGGAGGCACCACGACGCCTCCGAATGCCTCCTCGCGCAGGAACCCAGCATGCAGATGAAATCACGATGGCCTTCTGTCAACATAAATGTTTTGAAAGGTCGTATCTGACTCACGAGAAGTACATCTCC